AACATGGAGAATTTTGAAGAGCATATTCGCCATATCTTGCTTTATTATTTCAAAAAAGGGAAGAAAGCAACTGAAGCACGGGAAAAGTTGCGTCAAGTTTACGGCAGAAATGTCATCGAAAAACGCCAGTGCCAGAACTGGTTCGCCCGATTCCGTGATGGTGATTTTTCAGTTAAAGACGCTCATCGCTCCGGCAGACCTTCCGAGATTGACGACGATAAAATCAAAGTATTGGTACAAGCAAATAAGCATTCAACGGTTCGAGAGCTTGCTACTGCTCTAAAAGTGTCCATTGGAAGTGTTCATGGCCATTTGAAATCGCTTGGCTTCGCAAAGAAGCTCGATATTTGGGTACCGCATGAGTTGAAGGAAATTCATCTGACGAAGCGCATAAACTTCTGCGATCAACTCATCAAACGCGATGAAAACGATCCGTTCTTGAAGCGTATGATCACGGGAGACGAAAAATGGATCGTTTACAATAATGTTAGCCGAAAAAGAAGTTGGACTAGGCGAGATGAAGCACCGGAAAGNCAAGCAAAGGCGGACATTCACCAAAAGAAGGTGATGCTGTCAATCTGGTGGGATTGGAAGGGACCAGTCNTCTATGAACTGCTTCCAAAGAATAAAACGATTGATTCCGATGTCTACTGTGAGCAGCTACAGAAATTAAGTGATGCCATCGCACAAAGACGTCCCGAGCTGATCAATCGTAAGGGTGTGGTATTTCACCACGACAATGCGAGACCACACACAAGTTTGGTCACTCGACAAAAATTGTTACAGCTTGGATGGGATGTGTTGCCACATCCACCGTATAGCCCAGACCTAGCGCCATCAGACTTTCATTTATTTCGCTCTTTGCAAAACTCCTTGAGTGGTAAAACATTTGCTTCTGAAGACCTCATCAAACAGCACCTTGACAAGTTTCTCGCAGAGAAAGATAGGAAGTTTTATGAACGCGGTATTATGAAGTTGCCCGAGAGATGGCAAAAGGTCATTGAACAAAACGGCCAATACATCATTGATTAATATTCATTACGTATATTAAATAAACGCACCTGAAAATCAAATGAAAAAAACGCAATGACTTTTTGAACAACCCGATAGAAGAAAACCAGCATGCATTGGCAGTTCCTAATAAGTTTTACACCAGCACACGTTTTCAACGCCTCTGGAAAAAAAAACGAATCAATTTTATGTCACATGAGACGCCTCTGGCATTATAAATTTTTAAATATAGCCAGCACACGTCAACCAAAACTGTTTCATAATAATTAATATTCCAGCATACGTTTACAAGAACGCCTCTGGGAAAAAAACAGAGCAACTTTATTGTCAAAAAGATGCATGTGACATTATTTTATATTAAACTTATTTAGAA